GAGAGGGAGAAATGAAAAAAAAAAAAAAAAAAGATCGAGGTACGTCTATGGCCGCGGGGGAGGGTGGGCTCGTTGCAGAGAAGATGAAGGGTGGACATGTGTCCACACGAACGTTTAACTTCATAAAGTCATTTTGCGCTTTTATTATCTCTATAATTTCACTTTGATTGCGCATTCTTCTCGTGCGCAAATAATTGCGTTCGGCTCTGATTTCGGATAGAGCATGGGGTAGGGTACACGACTCGTCACAAAAATTTTTCTGCTCATTGTATCGCTTGTTACTGATTATCACCTCGATACGACTGTTTGACGAAAGTTTACTTGTCATCGATCATTCACCAAGCATATACCTTTCATGTTTATCACTAGTCTACGTTCAAGGTAACTCTTACAATTGCTCATCCCAAATTTATGATTATCAATAAATTTACTTACAATCTCTTATCCTCCCTCATATCGATACCCATCATTGGTCTTTCTACAATTTTACCTCTTTGTAAGTTGTAATCTCCGATGTTTTATATTTAATGTGCTAACTCGTCATAATGGTCTTACCATTTATTTAATGAAATGCACAGCTGCTTTGAGCTTTAATGTATGATTGGGTTCCGAAATTAATGACATCTTGTTATGATGTTACAATAAATTGGCAAGTATGAAATGGCACGAAAACAAAGAGAACAAAACGGTAAAGTCCGTGTGGAGGATGGCAGAGAAAAAAAATGTTTTGCACAAAAAAAAAAAAAAAAAAAAATGTACCTGGTAAAGAGAAACATTTTTGGCTAATAAAAACACGGACGAATGGGCTGATCTTGTCGTTTAAGCGAGAGATAAAAAGCGAAAGAGGCGAGAAAGTGGGAGGAGAAAGGAAAAAAAAACGAGCTACATCTAGTTCGCGTTTATAGAGCACAAGGTGCGGATAAAAAGAGCGCCGGATGCAATTTTCCGCAGACGAGGTGGGAGGGAGAGAAAGAGGCATGGCGTTCCTTCCTGCTGATGATGCGCTCTTTTTCCTGACCTCCTTTGTCGCCTCCGACAAATGCGGCCTCGAAGCCGCCACTTAAGAGACGTGTAATCTTATTTCTCATTTGAATTGCCCATACCTATATACGACTGTATGTATTACGTGTACGCCACCGTTTTCATTTCTCACAACGCAAACACTCCCACCTTAGTGATCGATCATCTTTTTTTTTTCTTTTTTCTTTTTTTTTGTACAAGAAACGATAGAATCTATTGATATCTCCAAAATTACGTACATTTCCTTGTGCTTTTTCCCTCCGTCATTACCGATACTCCCTTTCCTCCTCCGTACCAGTGGGCCATACCTACAAACTCTGTTGTTTTTTTCCCCCTGCCTCCGACATCGTCATTTTTACACTCGATCCAGTCACCCTCCTCTATTTTTTCACTTGCCTAGGTAGACGTGTAATAAAACCGGGGGGACTCGGCTGTGGGTGGATCGATTTCGGGATTTCGATTACCGATCCATCCGCAGCCCTGCGCAGCGATTGAAAACAAACCCCAAGCGATTATTTATAAACGGAAGCGGAAAAAGGTATCCACGTGGCGATGGAAATCAACGAAATTGTGATTGCACATTGGACTGCATGCAGTCGTGTTGTCTGTCGTTGTATCCGTGTGTGATTGTCATCTCCGTTTATAATGAGCTGCTAAACATTTCATCAAACGGCTATAAATTCAAGTGGTGTATGCACGCGCACTTTGTCTGATAATGGTTGATTTTTGAAAAATCGCAAATTGATCTCTTTTCGGGTGATACTGGCGACGTTACGACGAGTAGATCGGAATCGTTTCAATCATCATTTTTTTGGCCAAAGAATTGGCCAAATGGCGACATTGTCATTTTCTAATGAGTCAATAATCACGATGAAAGGAAGTGATTGACCAAAAATGAATTTTCAAACAATCAGGGATGAGTGAAAAAAATGTATGCCTGGGGGCATCGACAAAATCCAGCTTTTTGGCTACAGGATATGTAGTAAGCGTGCATGAAAAACCAAGCACTCGATGAGGAGGAGTAATACACCACGTAATAGCGTAAAAACAAGAGCGCATTACCCGGTGCTCAAGATAAACGCTCTCCTCCCCGCATTGAGTTATCCAAGCGTCAAGAGGCATCCCCTCGACATAAACATATATATATACCATTCCCGTCCGCACAAAGCACCCCTCCCTGTCGACGTCGGGTGTGCTTTGCCTCATTTCTGGCAATTACAGGGGGAGGGATGTCGGCTGCACCCTCGTCCGCAGAAATCAGCCACCGCTAGGCGCGCCCCTCGTATACACATACCTATACACACGCAGGATCAAGCTGACGTACGCATCGCGCCTGCGCCGATGTTATCGCGAGCCGGCTGTTCAATATATGTATATGCGTATATACTCTCTCATTGTTTCGCTGATGCTGATCGTTTCTTCGCGCTGCCTATATACTTATGTGCTTTTCTTTATTTCTCGTTCCGATGCTTTCCTTCCTCTTGCATGTGCGCTTTGGGCCGCTGATCCTTATCGCCGCGGTGTAAGTAGGCATATTCGAGGTACTCTGGTTTCGAGTTCTGCGTAATAAGTGGTTTATTGGGATGATTTTCGGGGGGGAGATGCTGCTGTTCTTTTCTTTTTTTTTCTTCTTCCCCAAGATGAGAGGGACAAACGAGCGTCTTACAATATACTCTCGTCTTACTTGTGGAGCTGTCATTGTTGCCGGGACGATTTCAAAGTTGAACCGAGAACATTTTCCTACGCATGATTACAGTGGACTACAGTGGCCGGTGTCGTGAAGACGAAGCTACGTGGTAACCAATTCGATTTCAGCCACATCGGTTTTCCTCCCTTTGCATGGGATCTTGAATTACTTGTTGACGGTTTTTTTTTTTTTTTTTTTTTTCTTCTTTGTGCACGCAAGGAAAACTCGACTGCAGCTCTGCACAGCCGTGTGGGAGCTAATTTTGTGCCCTCCTCTCCAAAGCAATTTTTTATCCACTGAATAGTGGATCGACGCGTTTCGGCTTTTCGTCACTTCTCTGTGGTATATGTTGTAAAAACTAGTGTAATTTACCTCAAAGGTCGAAAGCAGTGCCAAACGTAAATCAATGTTCGTATATGAAGTAGAAAATTTTTCCCTCCGAATTTTGAAATTTTTCTCCGAATCGCTATAAAAAGGCGTCGTACAGGGGTAAACTTTTTTTCAAACATTAGCCACCGCGTGAATTTTGCGATGCTTTTCAAAAATAAGGGAATCGCGCGTGGGGTGTCAACAACGACACACGCACAAACGAGATCACCTACATAGCGAAATTTTCCATTCGATCGAATAAAGCAAGTCAGCTGCAGAGAGATAGAGATAGCACAACCAATACAAACAAGCTCAGCGCAAGCCCACCGGATCAAAGGATCAAACAGAGACCCAATCAAATGCCAAAGAGAGTCCTCGGCCGAGCACTCCGTGTCGTCCTTCTGGTTGGCTTTGCGTGTACCTCTCGTCCTCGGCGCGTTCGCCTCTCGACACCAAGCGCGTGAAATTCTTAAAGAGCCAACTCGTAGCTGAGCTTTTCCCCCCACATCGTATACCCTTTGCTCTTTCGCGAAAGTAGCTCCTATCTCGTGTCGGTTTATTTGCAACTTGGTACCAGTAAATGAGGGCTTATCATCGGTTGGTTGGTTTCTTTTTCATGCTATCGTCACCTATACGGTATTAAACACATATTTATACACTTGAAGTAAATTTTCAAGCTTGCCACTTGTGGTATAACCAAATGAGCCAATCGAAGGTTCAGTCGTCTTTAGTAACAAGTAGGTACAGCTAAAACTTGACATTATCACCTGCATGCCGAGGTCCCCACCATCTATTCTTTTTTAATTTTTTTTTTATAAACAAACAACAAGTGCTTGAATCAAATCAAATCAATCCCACGCATCAACAACAATATAGCCACAGTGGGATCATTCCGATACCGCCGTTACTAAGCCCCAAACGCACACCAAGCCCCCGTTGTCCCCCCTAACGAGTTAACAAATCCGAGTAAAAACGTTCCCTCCTTATCAAAACGCCGAAAGGACGCGCGGGACGATCAGCCCTCCTTGTCCAGCCACCCACGCACACGCGCAGCATCCAAGCTTGAGGGGGGTATCCCATGTGTATGTTCGTGCCAGGTATGGTAAGTACACGTATGTATGTATGTATGTATGTGGGTACGTGTCGCGTGAGCTCGACTGGCTTCGCCATGTTGGCCGCACGCGCGCCGCCACGAACCTCCACGAGTAGCCTCCACGGCGTTCCCATTGGTCGGCGCTGCGGGCACGCCCCTCCGCACCTCGAGCAGCCGCGCCCCCGTGTAGCCCCTGCCCCTCGACTGCCCGGACACCACGCCACAGGCGAGCTGGAAGGGGAAAAGGATCGCGCGGAGGAGGACCCGTAAACCCGGTGCGCCACCACCACGCGCCCATGGACCCCAGTGTACGTGCACGCGCACACACACCCCGCCCTTCCCTCCACCCCGCCCGCGAAGCGAGTGGCCGCGCTCGAGAAAGGATCGCTCCCCCCATTGCTCCGTGCTCCTTACGCGGGGGTGGACACACGCGCGCCACTCTGTCTCCTCCTCCTCCTGCCTGTACAACTACTACTACTATTACTACGACTACTTGTGTGTGTGTGTGTACTGTCAGGCACCGGGCCGAGCAGCGCGGCAGCTGGAGTTTTTCCTTTCAGTCATTTACCTACCCTCGTTCGTTGCGCTGTGGTGCCGTTGTTGCTGTTTCTATTGTCGTTTGTCCGAGTTGACGCGCAATCATGGGAGTAGTTATCGGTGGTTGGGTGCGTGGTGCCGCCGCCGATTGACAGTTGTATGGTCCGTGCGAGCGTGCGATCCGAGGGGTAAGGATCGGTAACGCGAAGCCATCAAGGTACTTTGGCAGTGATGTGCGAGAGAGTGTCGTGAGCTCGCGAGAATCAACCGGAGGGACTAGGTGCAGTGTATCGAAGTACATACTACGGGCACGATCCTCGGAGTAAGTCAAAAGTACAACCGAGCGGACCTCGGAGGTACGGTATACATATCCTTATTTTTTGATGCTCACGAGCGTCGTCGGTGAATGCAGTAACCGGTAAGGCGGGGGGCGGATGACTTCGGTTGTGGCGACGGAGCAGGCGATCGCGTCGCCGACCATGGACTCCCAGCAGTTGGTGATGGAGAGCTCGGGGGCCAACGCCGCTGTGGACAAGGTCAGCCCCAAGCCGATGGGCAGCGGCACGCCGAGGCACAGCATCGACGCGATCCTGGGATTGTCCGGGCGTAAGCGCCGCCAACAGGAGATGGAGGCTCTCAGCGAGTTGCAGGACAATTTGACAGGTACGTCGTTCCTTTTGATACCCGTTTTTCGCTACATCATGGTTTACAATTGTGGATACACTTGGTCATCGTTACACCGGGATTTTGGCAATACACACGGTGCATTCGATGCATACAGTTGAGAATCGCACGTATCACGGCAGCGATATCCTTTCGCTCGGTCACCCATCGCGGGTATATTGTACGCGAAACCTCGACGAAGCAGCACGTCCAAAGGAGTCAATTTAAAAAAAACCAACATAATGAGCCATCGCGGCTCTCGTAAGTGCACAGTGGAGCCTCCACTGTTTTCCGAGTCCGTAGATTAGAGGCTCGCTTACAATAGAAAACAGGACGAGAGAGGAGCAAGAGTATAGGTATAGAAGCAGAGAGAGAGAGAGGCTATACGTAATCGTCCGACGGAAGACGACGGCTGCTGCTCTCGAGGCACCGCTGCACACACACACACACCGACACGGGCTCCTCTTGCTCACCTTGATACGCCAGGAGCGATTAGTGCCGACGGGGATTATATACCGTCCGTGGAGCATCAGACGGACGCTCCTCTGTGGTTTTTCTCTCTGGCTCGTTGTTTTTTTGCTTTTTTTTTTTTTTTTTTCTTCTTCTTCTACTTTGGTTTTTTTGTTTTTTTGTGTTTTTTTTTCTCTCAAAAACAAGTAGAAAAAGAGAAGACGAGGAGGAAAAAAAGTTAATACGTTTGAAGCCGGGCCGACTGCCACGACGCGATTAGCAAATTGCGAGATGTGCATGTATACATTAAACACACACTCGCGGGATTGAAAAATAAAATGAGGCTTTGAAAAACTGTAGCGCTCGCGAGCGTCTCTCTCTCTCTCTTTCTCGCTCGCTGTGTGGGTATAAACCTCCGAGAGAGAGAGAGAGAGAGAGAGAGAGATCGAGATTAAATATCGCGAAAGCTTTTAGCGTACGTGACTGTTTCAATCAGCCCAGAGATGGATGGGAGCTTTTGATCGTTTCTTTTTTTTTTTGTTTTTTTTTTTCCAAGTCTAAATGTGTCCACCGCAGCTACGTGCGTTTTTTCTCCTCTTCTGTATCCCTGTTCTTGGGATCGTGTACAATTATCATTTATTCTCGTTCGAGTACTGCTAATGTAACCCTCGAGAGTCGCGGTGATTTTTCTTTTCGACTCGCTTGTTGTTCATGTAGCATACCCACATGCACGGTCGATGGTATTACCAACAGTCTACGCCACGGCAAATTGATAAATTGACTCAACTGCAGCGTAGTTAGTGGAAAAATCACGATTGGCAAACATTTGCATAAATAATACTCTCGTCATCGAGTCGTTGGGAAAAAAAAAAAAAAAAAAAAAAAAATTACGTCAAAGCCAAAAAAAAAGACACTATACCTTGTTACACGCCCTTTAGATGAGAAAAATCAAAAACCATTCAACGTACGCAACGACTCCCAATATTTTTAATACACATTATACACCAGCTTATTACAGCTTGGGCATCAGAGGCAAGATTAAAAAAAAAAAAAAAAAAAAAAAAGTGGTATACCTGAGTAGATAGTAGCAACGGCAAAAGCAGCAGCGCATCGCGTACATGTATAGAGGCAATTTGCGCGGACGTAAACGGCCTTTATCATATGGGTACCAGTATATACATACGTGTGAGCGTGTGTGTGCACAGCAGGCAGCGGCGAGAGAGGGAAGAACGGGTGTAGCGTGGCGTATAATTGGAAAATCGTTAGTATCGCCGGCGGATCTCACGTGTCGTTAGAGAGTAATTTGTATCGCCGCGATACCCATACACGTACCCACATAAACCTACTTGTGCTCGCGTTCGCGTGTGCCTGTATACGTGAATTCGTACATACGAATACCACACGCATATATAGCGTCTCGGATCGCACGTGAGCGTACACATGTGTAGGTATACATATATATATATATACATATACAAATGCACACGCAATATATATATATGCATTTTCATCGGCTTCCTCAGCCGGATGCAATAAACGTCGGATCAATTAAGATCGCGGCCCGATAAGAGCCGGCTCGATAATTAAGTAGTTTCAATTTTGCCGAGAGCCTTCGTGCGGTGAATAAAGTTGTTGTTGCACTGCCTGCGTTTGTTTTGTCATTCCTTCCTTTCTCTCTATTTTATTATTATTGTTATTATTGTTATTTTTTGTTTCATCCCCACTATTCGTCTTACCCTCGTTCCGAAAGATCAATTACACCTCTCCTCGAAATTCTCGCAATCACGATTTTCGAGTCGTGTCCCTGCCGTGAGCCAGCCCCGTGATTCGTCATCGGAGGATAAATCAATTATGGCGCGAATAATTTGCTGCGTCGAGAGCCGAGCGAAATTACTCCTCGCGCGATCGTGTAATTTATCTGGAGAAGTAAATTGCCATTACGCGCCGAGGAACTCTGTACTTGTGTGTGCGTGTGTGCGCACGTATCTAATATTCATGTACATGGCACGACTCTTGTGTGCAGTTGTTTGATGGAATTTCATATAGTCACCGAACGAACCATAATAAAAATCGGGCACGTTGCAACGTGGATATGTGTATATATACATTGAAAAAAAATCAAGACGAGTACACGTATGTTATTATTATTTTGCCTATCTTGTTCCCGCTAATCGAATTATCGTTGAGGAAACACGAGCGCGAAGAGATTAAGGGGGACGAGGACGAGGAATATGGAGCCTGAAAAAAATAAAGATAAGCCACCACGCGGCTCTCGAGAAAAAAGACGCACAACAGCGTTGTAGGACGCTCAACAAGAGGCGAACGAGCGCGCGTTTTAACTAATAAGCCACGAGGGTTGAGGGAGAATCGGGTCCAAAAGTCTCGAGGAATTAAAAGGGAGCGGCTTTGGGCCTCGCATCTTACGAGAATTGACGGCTCTACTAATGGATCCGACCTCGCCTTTTTTTATTCTTTTTTTTTTTTATGAAAAAACGGATCTTTCTTTCGTTATCTTTTTTTTTTTTCGCGATTAAATATGAGCTTTGCTGTACCGCAGACTCGAAAGCAGAGAGTGCGTGACTTTTTGTTTACAGAGAAGGTGGAGGAGAAAATCAATAGCACCGCGCGGCTGATGTGTCTTTCTTTTGTGTACACAAGTACGTACACTTTTGATGGGTTTTATTCGGTTTGTATTTGATGCAATTCAGTCATTTCATCGCGATTATTTCTCAAAGCAGGGCTTTTGTAACTATAATTGCACTGGATCCCGAAAACTCGTTGCAACTGTCAAAACACGAGTTTTATCTAATGTATTGTCCAACATATTTTTTATTGTCTCTATCGTCCAACGGAAAATCGATGCAAAAAAAAAGAATCTTCAAACGTGTACGAGTTTTAATAAATTAACGAAACACATCACTAGTGCCGTTAAAACAATTTGGCTCGTTTTTATTCAAAATATCACGTGTCGGTAATAGACGTCACTTGGACGCGATAAGAGCGCGTTTTAAAACACCCGCCTATTATTAAAATTACGTTATCTCGCGAAAGAACCCCGACAGCCCGACAACGTTAAATTACACACCGCCAATTTTGTAATCACTTCGAAAAGCCGAAGTAAACTGTGCGAAAAAAAGAAAAAAATTAAATTCCCATTGGTCCCTGCACGTACAAGGTGAAGCATATATATACACTTTGTTTGAGACGAACAAATAAATTCCAAAGTGATATTTCCACTGAAGAGTAACAGACGCTGCGGGCAAAATCGTTTCTCCCGTGGAAAAATGTTCATTAGAATTTCATAAAATTACGCAAATTGCCGTCCACGCGGTGGTGTAGTAATCAATACGACTTAAAAATTATACTAATAAGCCCTTCTGCGAGTGAGCTATCGGTCACGACAATCTCGGCCACGCACACACACACGCACACACACACGAGCGCCGAGAGTCGAGAGAACGCGAACCCCGAATTATTCAATTTTCTCCGAAGAAACAAAACACAATATACCTGCTCCCTAATCTGTCGGGAGCAACCCTCTCGAGCCAAGGCACGCGTTAAAGGAAAGGAAAGAAATTCCAGCGTCATCGGGCCAAAGTTACGGGGAATTCAGAGAAACCCATCGTAGCATCCACCTTCTCTCCCCGCGTTCAGTGAGGCCCCTTCTATTAGCGCTCTCTCTCTCTCTCTCTTTCTCATTTGGTCGAGGGCGAGCTTTTGTTACAGGTATATATGTATATATAAGTGAGCCGGGCGGCAATTCCGATCGCGTGACAACTCGCCGTCTCTCCCGCACACGCGCCCGATTGCCCGGTAATTCCGCGCCCATTTATCGCGGATATACCTCCTTCTCGTTTTTCTCCCGGCCATACCGGCCTTTCTTTCCACACTGCTTCGGAGTACCTGTGGGTGGGTGCGTTTTACTTTTTAGAAGCGCTATAATTGGCCTTGATTTTCAAATTTGCTCGCATACGCAAATTATCTCCGGGAATCACTGTCGGCTTGACATCGACGATTGATCGTACTTTATTACTAGGTCAGAACTAACTTTATTACTTACTCCACTTTTGTAAAAGTAAATGCTTATTACTCGCGAATCATTACATCTACACGTAAAACAATTGGCTTTACGATGTGATATTATGGTTAAAGTGGTACGGTGGACAAGACAAGGGTTTCCGGAGCTGAGACAAATAATCCTTGATTCAATTCAAAAATGTGTTATGGAGAAAAAATAAATTCCAGCATACATGACGAAAAAAAAAAAAAAACAATTAAAATTCATGACAGTTGTGTATGGAGGTGCGCATCCTTTTTTTTATGAGCTTCTATATAGGCAAACAATTAAAAATTTATAGTAAACGAACACATGCGCCTTCGCGTTATTTTCGTCGATGGAGACGCAATTAGCGTTAGATAACTATCGGCGTTGAAAAGGCTATATACGATCGAGTTACGGATGACACAAGAACTTCAAGAGCTTTTTTTTTCTCCTCGCCTCTCCGACGTGATTCTATCCGATGGTGCGTGCATTTACATGAACTGCTAAC